TATTCAGAGTGATCCTGAAAACAGCAAAGACAGGTTTACAGCAAAGGTCTCACTCTGTCACTCTCAGATCTGACACTAATCCTGAACCTTACACTGAGGGACTCAAAGGGACTCAAAGGGACTCAGAGGGACTCAGAGGGACTCAGAGGGACTCAAAGGGACTCAGAGGGACTCAGAGGGACTCAGGACTATACTGGGATCGGAGGTGGACTTGGAGCAGACCAGTGGAACGTCAGAAACAGGATCCAAAGGGAGAAGATAAATGTAAAGTGAAGTGAATCCTCCCAAAGCCAGAGATGTCTTTATCTTTGTTTGACAGATTCCAAACACCAGGAATACAGTCTCTGATGGTGCCATAGCACCATGTGCAGCAGAGAGACAGTCCTGGCAACATGTGTGACATGTAGCACATGTATGACATTTATCAACATGTATGACATTTATCAACATGTATGACATTTATCAACATGTATGACATTTATCCACATGTATGACATTTATCAACATGTGTGACATTTATCAACATGTATGACATTTATCAACATGTATGACATTTATCAACATGTATGACATTTATCACATGTATGACATTTATCAACATGTATGACATTTATCACATGTGTGACATTCATCACGTGTATGACATTTATCACATGTGTGACGTTTATCAACATGTATGACATTTATCAACATGTATGACATTTATCACATGTATGAAATTCATTGACATGTATGACATTTATCACATGTGTGACATGTAGCACATGTATGACATTTATCACCTGTATGACATTTATCACATGTGTGACATGTAGCACATGTATGACATTTATCACATGTGTGACATTTATCACATGTATGACATTTATCACATGTATGACATTTATCACATGTGTGACATTTATCACATGTGTGACATTTATCACATGTATGACATTTATCACATGTGTAACATTTATCACATGTATGACATTTATCAACATGTATGACATTTATCACATGTATGACATTTATCACATGTATGACATTTATCAACATGTGTGACATTTATCACATGTATGACATTTATCACATGTGTGACATTTAGCACATGTATGACATTTATCACCTGTATGACATTTATCACATGTGTGACATTCATCACATGTATGACATTTATCACATGTATGACATTTATCACATGTGTGACGTTTATCAACATGTATGACATTTATCAACATGTATGACATTTATCACATGTATGACATTCATCAACATGTATGACATTTATCACATGTGTGACATGTAGCATATGTATGACATTTATCACCTGTATGACATTTATCACATGTGTGACATGTAGCACATGTATGACATTTATCACATGTGTGACATTTATCACATGTATGACATTTATCACATGTATGACATTTATCACATGTGTGACATTTATCACATGTGTGACATTTATCACATGTATGACATTTATCACATGTGTGACATTTATCACATGTATGACATTTATCAACATGTATGACATTTATCACATGTATGACATTTATCACATGTATGACATTTATCAACATGTGTGACATTTATCACATGTATGACATTTATCACATGTATGACATTTATCACATGTATGACATTTATCACATGTGTGACATTTATCACATGTATGACATTTATCACATGTGTGACATTTATCACATGTATGACATTTATCACATGTATGACATTTATCACATGTATGATATTTATCACATGTGTAACATTTATCAACATGTATGACATTTATCAACATGTATGACATTTATCACATGTATGACATTTATCACATGTGTGACATTTATCACATGTATGAAATTCATCAACATGTATGACATTTATCACATGTGTGACATTTAACACATGTATGACATTTATCACCTGTATGACATTTATCACATGTGTGACATTTATCACATGTGTGACATTTATCACATGTGTGACGTTTATCAACATGTATGACATTTATCAACATGTATGACATTTATCACATGTATGACATTCATCGACATGTATGACATTTATCACATGTGTGACATGTATGACATTTATCACCTGTATGACATTTATCACATGTGTGACATGTAGCACATGTATGACATTTATCACATGTGTGACATTTATCACATGTATGACATTTATCACATGTATGACATTTATCACATGTGTGACATTTATCACATGTGTGACATTTATCACATGTATGACATTTATCACATGTGTGACATTTATCACATGTATGACATTTATCAACATGTATGACATTTATCACATGTATGACATTTATCACATGTATGACATTTATCAACATGTGTAACATTTATCACATGTATGACATTTATCACATGTGTGACATTTAGCACATGTATGACATTTATCACCTGTATGACATTTATCACATGTGTGACATTCATCACATGTATGACATTTATCACATGTATGACATTTATCACATGTGTGACGTTTATCAACATGTATGACATTTATCAACATGTATGACATTTATCACATGTATGACATTCATCACATGTATGACATTTATCACATGTATGACATTTATCACATGTGTGACGTTTATCAACATGTATGACATTTATCAACATGTATGACATTTATCACATGTATGACATTCATCAACATGTATGACATTTATCACATGTGTGACATGTAGCATATGTATGACATTTATCACCTGTATGACATTTATCACATGTGTGACATGTAGCACATGTATGACATTTATCACATGTGTGACATTTATCACATGTATGACATTTATCACATGTATGACATTTATCACATGTGTGACATTTATCACATGTGTGACATTTATCACATGTATGACATTTATCACATGTGTGACATTTATCACATGTATGACATTTATCAACATGTATGACATTTATCACATGTATGACATTTATCACATGTATGACATTTATCAAAATGTGTGACATTTATCACATGTATGACATTTATCACATGTGTGACATTTATCACATGTATGACATTTATGACATGTGTGACATTTATCGAATGTATGACATTTATCACATGTGTGACATTTATCACATGTATGACATTTATCACATGTATGATATTTATCACATGTGTAACATTTATCAACATGTATGACATTTATCAACATGTATGACATTTATCACATGTATGACATTTATCACATGTGTGACATTTATCACATGTATGAAATTCATCAACATGTATGACATTTATCACATGTGTGACATTTAGCACATGTATGACATTTATCACCTGTATGACATTTATCACATGTGTGACATTTATCACATGTGTGACATTTATCACATGTATGACATTTATTACATGTATGACATTTATCACATGTGTGACATTTGTCACATGTATGACATTTATCAACATGTATGACATTTATCACATGTATGACATTTATCACATGTATGACATTTATCACATGTGTGACATTTATCACATGTATGACATTTATCAACATGTGTGACATTTATCACATGTATGACATTTATCACATGTATGACATTTATCACATGTGTAACATTTATCACATGTATGACATTTATCACATGTGTGACATTTATCACATGTGTAACATTTATCACATGTATGACATTTATCACATGTGTAACATTTATCACATGTATGACATTTATCACATGTATGACATTTATCAACATGTATGACATTTATCACATGTATGAAATTTATCACATGTGTGACATTTATCAACATGTATGACATTTATCAACATGTATGACATTTATCACATGTATGACATTTATCACATGTGTGACATTTATCACATGTATGACATTCATCAACATGTATGACATTTATCACATGTGTGACATTTAGCACATGTATGACATTTATCACCTGTATGATATTTATCACATGTGTGACATTTATCACATGTGTGACATTTATCACATGTATGACATTTATCACATGTATGACATTTATCACATGTATGACATTTATCAACATGTATGACATTTATCACATGTATGACATTTATCACATGTATGACATTTATCAACATGTGTGACATTTATCAACATGTATGACATTTATCACAAGTGTGACATTTATCACATGTATGACATTTATCACATGTGTGACATTTATCACATGTATGACATTTATCACATGTGTGACATTTATCACATGTATGACATTTATCACATGTGTGACATTTAGCACATGTGTGACATTTAGCACATGTGTGACATTTATCACATGTGTGACATTTATCACATGTATGACATTTATCACATGTATGACATTTATCACATGTGTGACATTTATCACATGTATGACATTTATCCACTCTAAGATTAGATATGATAAGATGTACTTTATATATCTCACGCAGGAGAAATGTTCATGTCACGTTTAGGATAAAACACTCAGACTGTGCAGAAAGAAAGACATGTGCAAACAGGACATGACATGAAGTGGCAATGAGAAACAGTGTCTAATGTGCAGGTTTCTTTTCAGTCCTAGTGCAGTGACTCAATGTGACTTGTTGTACAGTCTGACAGCGGTGGGGATAAAGGCCCTGCTCCTTCTTCCACTGAGGGAGCTCCTCAGCTCCTCCTCAGTCCTGTGCAGTGGGAGGTGTTGTTCATGATGTAGGTGACTTTTACTAGCACCTCCTGTCCCTCACCTCCTCCACAGAGTCCAGGAGCCTCCTGTCCCTCACCTCCTCCACAGAGTCCAGGAGCCTCCTGTCCCTCACCTCCTCCACAGAGTCCAGGAGCCTCCTTTCCCTCACCTCCTCCACAGAGTCCAGGGGCCTCCTGTCCCTCACCTCCTCCACAGAGTCCAGGAGCCTCCTGTCCCTCACCTCCTCCACAGAGTCCAGGAGCCTCCTGTCCCTCACCTCCTCCACAGAGTCCAGGAGCCTCCTTTCCCTCACCTCCTCCACAGAGTCCAGAAGCCTCCTGTCCCTCACC